TGTTTCGGGGCGCCATCGGCGCACAATTTGCGTTTATGGATGACAACGCCCGTACTCACCGTGCAAACATCGTAAGCGAATGCCTTCAGTCCGAGGATATCACCCGAATGGACTGGCCAGCATTCTCACCGGATTTGAATCCAGTACAGCACGTGTGGGACATGCTTGGCCGACGAGTTGCAGCCCGTCCACCTCCTCCTACATGCCTACCGGAACTTCGGAGAGCATTGTTTTTTGAGTGGTTTAATATCCCCCAATATCAGATCGATAACTTGATACTCAGCATGCCTAGGTGTTGTACGGACTGTATTGCATCGTCTGGGAGACATACAATGTATTAACAATCATACCAACCATGTAATATTGGTTTTTTGTAAATAGGTTTTTTTTTTGTAATTTGCTCCAGGGAGAAAAATTCGCTAATTTTTTTAATAATATCAAACATATAGCTCTTTACCTTTTGTTTTTATCTTTTTTTTTTTTTTTTTTTGCTCTTTACATTTTGCTTAATAAATAAGCTTTACAAATAAGTCAAATTTTTTTTTGCTTCTAATTCTTTCTTTGCCTGCTTTTGCATTATCCTTAATTTATGGACATGAGTGTAAATTGTTAGGGGGAAACTATCTATTAAGAGAAAATCTGCTACCTTGATATCAAGTATCAAAGCAGCAGTTTTATTCCCTTCTATCCTGTCCTCGTGGACTTACTGTGCTGCACTCATTCTACTGAAGCGCCCTTCTAGGTGATACGAAGTGCTGACAGCGGGAATACAGCATGGATGTTTCATGCTAATCTCGGTGTACAGAGGAAGGTCAAGTTAGTTGATAATAGTCAACACTTGATTAGACAATAAATTTGTTGCAATCGTTTGCGAGGTTGACAGCCTGCCTAACCAAGATGTGCATTTGAGTGTTTGATATCAAATTCTGGGTTCGAATTAACACTTAAAAGGGAAGTTTTCGGTTTTATCCGTTTTGTGCACTCTCTGTGAGTTTGTCACTAAACACATTTCGCAACTTTTGGTCTCGTTTGTTCACTCTTCCAACACTGTTGTAAGTTCAGATTGGAATTCTGATATTTTCTGCCTCTCAGAGTGGAATGAGATCCTATGTTCTATGGCAATTATTGCTCAACTGGATGAGTACTATCATCTCTCTTAATTTGTAAAAATAATTTAGAATTACAGTGTATATGTATATTTTGTACTGCGGATTGCAATGAAGAAAAGAGGTGCACAACTATAATACAGTGCCGTATAGCAATAGTGCCGTATAGCAACTAGCAGTGCCGTATACAAATTTCAACATTCTACGGCTAATCACTTTTGAATTATATTAGATACATGTGAACGTACGTACAGCCGTCAAGGAAAAAAATTGGCTTTTAAGGTATTTTACAATCCGTTTTGGAATAAAGAGTGTTTTGTTCCGTCCGTAGCTACACACGACATATAGGAAATAGTCAATTTGAGAGCGGACGAAGTGGATGTCTCCTTTAAAATATGATACCCAAAATTTTTCGCGTTTACAATACTTCCTTTGCTTCGCACAAGGAAGCAAATAGACTATTCTATAAATTTAGAAACTGGCATAAATATTTAAATGATACTATCTGGTAACACTTCTCAGAGCTTTCGTAGACAGCCTGCTTAAAAGGAGTAACGCCTCCATAAAGGACCTTATGAGATAAACTGATTCATATTCAAGATACAAGTAGGAAAAATATCAACTTTTAACAACTTTATTTGCTGTTTTACTAAACAAGAACTTCGTAAGAACAAGGGATGTAGATGCGACAATACATACTTGTTAATTATGAGAAATATTTAGGTTAAACTTAGCTTTATTTTATGTTTTAATATTATAAAATTTTATTTGTTTATGTTGCAAATAAATTTACGTTTGCTTGGCAAAAGATATGGCTTCCTTACGTTTAAACAACCTTTCTTTACGGAATTTAATTCTTTAAATGAGAAAATCAAAATCAACTATATTCATTTTTTTTCCTGCTGAAGGTTTTATAAATTTAGTACGCAAGGCTTTGAAATATAATTTCAATGTATTTCACTAATCATTATGTGAGTTCTTGATTCTGAGTTATATTATTTTCTGCGTCTGTTTTTAAGTACATTTAACTTTAGTCTTTCGTTTTTAGGAAAGATTAACCAATGATACCTTCCGTGATTGTTGATCAATTTTCTTTTTCAGCGTACCGATTAAGATGTGTTACGCATACAGAGAGTGCTTCAAAATTAATACATACCAAGTTTCGCTCACATTTGTAGTCTTGCACTGCAAAAGCCGAGTACCAACTGCACAAATACTACAGTTTCCAGATTGCATCTTAAAAGTAAGAATCATTAATCCGATATTTCTGACTGCAGAGTAGAGATCGGAAAACTCGACGTAATGTGGACTGAGAGAATGTCGAGTTTAACGGAATATGGGGTGGGGTTTTCAGAACTCTTAATATTTAACCCTTTCAGAAGTCAAACAGCAAAAATCAGCGTTATATATTCAAAATTTTCACAGGACTAGTTTCGATGGTTTTACCGAACCACCATCCTCAGCTGCAAAACCGCAAATGAACAAGATAGGAAAAATGATTAGATAAGATAAGAAAGCCTGGAAAAAAGTAAGCAAGCGGCGCCATCTGTTGGTGAAACCAAACCTAAAACATAATTTCTTTAAAGGCCGAAGGCAAAGATGGATTGGAATTAGGATCGTTAACTAGAACAGAAAGATTTTTTTAATGTGAAATGCCTCTAGAAAATCCAGTTCTCCAATGGAAGATGTTTTTTGAATAATTTTGGCAGCAGAAAAATTGAAAGTGTGATTTTCGGACCAACAATGTTGAGCAAAAGAAGACTTCTGTGTTGCCTTTTTTCTAACATATGCCTCATGTTAAAAACATCTTCTATTGGAGAACTGGATTTTCTAGAGGCATTTCACATTCAAAAAAGTCTTTCTGTTCTAGTTAACGATCCTAATTCCAATCCATCTTTGCCTTCGGCCTTTAAAGAAATTATCTTTTAATTCTTGGTTTCACCAACAGATGGCGCCACTTGCTTATTCTTGACCAGGCTTTCTTATCTTATCATTATTTCCTATCTTCTTCATTTGCGGTTTTACAGCTGAGGATGGTGGTTCGGTAAAACCATCGAAACTAGTCCTGTGAAAATTTTGAAAATATAACGCTGATTTTTGTTGTTTGACTTCTGAATTAGTATTTGTTCGGCGCGTTATTGTGTCTTAATTTAACCCTTTGACGAGCGGGATATTATTTTATAAGGTCTTAACTAAAAAATGCTATCGAAATCGAATATTATGATAATAGAGACAAATAATACATTAATTTAAAAACAAATATACTCTTACCCATTGATCTGTGGGTACTGGTAGGTCTGTGGAACCAGCACCGCGTCTAGGACTATGAAACTTACTGAGGCAGAAGGACAAAAAAAGACGGTACTTTTCCGTTTTGCCGGCGCAAACGTTAAAGTCGCCAATTAATGGTACAATTGATGCCAAACGGAATATCTTCGCTGGTAACCTTTTACGCCTCATTTTCAAAACAAGTCGCAGCCATTTCTTACCAAATTGATTGTTTCTTTCAATACTGGCATACAATTACATAAAATATTTACAAAGATAATTAAATTTTATGCCCTCAGACCATTCGCGGTCATTAAGTCAATTAGGATGCAATCACACCGCTCACCCGAAGGCGAAAATATAGAAAAGGCAAAATCAAGAATTAAATTCATCCATTCTAACGAGAATGTACTAGCGAAGTAAAGCACTGCGGTTATATAATTTCTGAGTAAGCTATTCTTACGAATTGAAATAATTCTGGCATTTAAACTTGTATTCGAAATTGAGATTTGACTTGAAATTAATGTAGATAATTACTGAGAAAATTATATTTTTGTAGCGTTGTTTACGTGAGGTGAGATCCCTTGAGGTGACTTGATACGAACCGGCGAATCGGGATGTTGAACCATGATAGCATAGTAAATTCTTAAATTAATGTCTTTTTACAAATTTGTTATCTTCATTTATTGGCTTTTTGCAAAATTATAAACCATATTAAAATGTTTACGCCTTCAAAATAAAAGATTCTTAGAACTAACATTTTTTAACATTTTTTTATGTATATACTGCATGTTGTCGCCAACAAAGTCTGCTTGGCGAGATTCGCGCCGGCGAAACGGAAAGGTACCAAACAGACTTGACATTTTTCCCGAACGCCCATTTTCAATAAATGACAAAATTTTTGAATTTAAAAAGAAATATATTTAAGAATTACAATATATATAAATTTTTTACATTATTTTACAAAGGAAATCGTCAGAAAAAATGAAAAAATAAACATTATGTACTTTTCCTATATCAGTGAAAACGTAAGAACGTAAGAATTAATGGCACAATTCGAAAACGGCAAAAATTACAAAAAAGCGAACACTCAAATCTTCAAACAGAACTGGAAAGACATACACATGAATAATAATTATGTATAATTTACACTAGAGATGTCTTACAAACCTTCCTAAATTATTGTCAAGTTATAGGGAATGTCGGGATATCGGGAGTCGAGTTTGCGAGACTCTACTCTAATTACAGCCCACCAGCGGCCGAGCGGTAAAGACGCTGAACACTGGTAGTTCGGTCCGAGGTTCGAATCCCGCGAAGGGGCTGGCTGCATGGGCGTTTTCGTGGTTTTCCCCATGTGTAACGTGTATACGAGCCAGTTTCGCTTAGAAAGTCCTCCACGAAGGCATCCCCTCCCTTTAGGCAGATAGCCCTCGTGTGCTTTGCCATAATTGAATAATACCAATACCAATACTACTCTAATTAGTATTAACGAATTTTTGTAAATAGATAAAGTATATGGTAAGAGTGAATGTACAACACATTGTCCAACGAAAATAATAATAAAAAGTATAATTATGTGCATTCAAATATTTCATATCAAGTTAAAAAATGCAGGTAATTTCTCACCGGGTGTTATAAAATCTACTGCTGATTCATCCACAGTCACTCTTCCAGATTTTCCTGTTCTCCGAAGAGATACGGAATGCCATTGTCCGTCGTCTACTCTTCTGGTAGTGGCTTTTACCTAAGAATGGTTATAATAATTATATTCAATGCAATAGACTCCTCGTTCAAGCTACAGAGATAAGGTATTGAAAGAAAAATACAAACTAATCATGTGAGCAAATATTGTTTTAACTGTCATTATAATGTCAGTTAAAATTAAAAGTAAAAAAAAAAATCTGAAAGCTTTCAGATTTTATGTTACGCCCAAAGGACTTTTTTTTAACGTTTTGTGTGTTATCTTTATTTATTAAATATCATGTACTTCGCCCTTAAACCATAAAATTCAATCCAACAGCAATATCACAAAATAATTTTAAAATGAGCATGTCTTTAGAATTTCCGATTCACAGTCTCCCGCGCTGGAGATAAAAATGTTTTTTTTTTTTCGTACAGTGTTGCCATTGCTCACTTTGAAATCGTTCAGTTTGTTAATCGAAAATTCGTTAAAGTTTTATAAAATATGTAATAGACAATAAAGAACATTCCAGATTCCTTTTGGGCTTCCTGATGCCCATATTCGGGTGGAGACGTACGTTATTCAAAATTGGATGGCTCCGGTACCGTTGTTTTATTACAATGCGAGAAACATACATACATTTATGGAGATTGTTCATTGTTTAATTTCTTTAATTATTGTTTTTAAAATTTTTGTTCTTTGAAAGACCTCGAGAGTTAAACGCCGTAGTACCAATTTCACCAAGTTGAAAACACATTGTTTAATCAGTAACTTTTCTTAAGATTTAACAAAACAGATAACATATCATGCCAAACAATCACACATTAGTGAAATCATGCGGTGGATAACATACAAATATACTTGACCGGTATAACATGATTTGAGCCAGCTTAATATTTCATTCAGACAGGCAAGTACTTGGCGATGTAGAAAAGTTATCCGGAATACGTACATGGCTAGATTCCTATTACAATGTAGTCTTCTATTGCGCTGTTTCATGTTAGGACTCTATGCATAACATTGCTGCACCACGTTCGAGAGTATTACTGCTACTGGCCACTTCGATAAACACCTCGGATAGGCATAGCAGGAAGGACAGTCTTTCAGCACCATCAGAACCGGGAGGACAACACACACCCTTTCTCTCCGGGAGATGATTTTACTGCCCAATTATATATAATAGGGGGACCGAAAAGTAATGTCGTTTCTGCGCATATCGACAACAACATGCTAAGGGCAGAAGTGGAAGCAAATCCATGTCAAACACTCTTAACCAACCTTGGTCGACCCTCCAAGAACATTTAAAGCAGAATGGAAAAATAAGCAAAGCAGGTGTCTGAGTCCCCCATAATCTGTCCGAAGAGAACAAAGCCAACCGATCTATCACATGCAACGTATTGCTTCAACGGCACCATACAGAACCGTTTTTTGATCGTTTGATTACAGGAGACAAAAAATGGGTCCTATATGATAATCCAAAACGAAAAAGGCAGTTTTAATAGGGGTTACAAAGGGGTTACATCCCGAAAAGGCGCTTCTGTGTGGTTGGTGGAGTATTCGCGGAATTGTTCATTGTGAATTGCAGAAACCTGGACAGACTGTTAACGCAGACCTTTATTGTGAACAATTGGATCGAGTGAACCAATGACGATTGTCAATAGAAAAGGCATCATTCTGCAACACGACAAAAGACCACACTCTGCAAGACGGACACTGGAAAAAATGAATGAATAGGGATGGGAGGTGCTGCATCACCCACCATACTCGCCCGATATCGTACACTCGGATTTCCATTTATTCCGATCCCTACAACATTTTCTTAGTGCCAAAAGAAAATTTTAATGATGTTCAAAATGCCATCTTGAGATATTTTACTCAAAAACCAATTGATTTATATTGGTCCTGGGATTGAAAATCTGCACACTAGATGGCAAAAGGTTGTTGATAACGAGGGGGGATTACATTATTGATTAAAAATAAAAACGTGTTAAAAATTTATTCGTGTGAATTTAATTTAAGAAAGCGACATTACGTTCTGGTCCCCCTTAGTTCACCTTTTCTGCAAAAAGTTTTAAAATTTATTCAGAAGTTTAAAGTTTTCTACGTAAAATGCCAAAACGAAATTAATAACCCTTCTGAGCTAACCCCCTTTGAGCTAAAAATAGCCAACCAGAACTGGCTTCTGTGCTTCTCAAAACTTGAAAAAATAAGAATTTCAGACGCTGTCCGAACTAAGAAAACTATTTTTGCGACTGAAATACAATGTAAGAAAATAATTCGATAATATTAGTTCCGGAAGTTGGTAAAACTAACATTAATACAAGCTACCGAAATCAACTCTCATTTTTACTATTCGAAACAAAATATGCTAAAATTCTCGAGAAGCCTAAAAAAATAGGGAAACGAAATCGTCAGTCAAATGCGACTAGATCAGTAAGGGAAACATTTCTAGACTGGACTCTATCTATTCAAAAAGTTTCTATATCAGTCAAAAGTTAAGGTAAAGCAGCTATAAATACAGTTAAAAAATGTATTTATTTTTTTAATCTTGATACTATATTTTGCTAATATTAATCTGTCCACCATTCATCTTCTTGATTATTTAATTTGACGTTTAAGATATATTTATATTATTTTCATATTATCAATGTAATTTAATTTTTATATAGGTTATTTAATACCTCATTAATTACTGTCTTATTATTTGTGGTTCTAATCAATTTTTCATAGAGCTTCGACCGATCTAATTTCAGAAAATTAGTCCTGGATTTCATTATGGTTTTCTTATGGGATTACTAAAGAGGAATTTGTGAATTTCTAGTTTTTAATTGACAGCAACATAAATTTGCTTCACAGAATAAAGTTAAATGTTACTTTTTAAGTTAATTCTATAAAAATATTCTTACTTTACATCTTACACCTGTAAGAGAAAAACAGCAAAATATACTGTGAAGCAAAACATTTAGAAGCAAATGAATGAAAAGCAACCCACAGTATGTGCAGTGCATATTTTAATATGCAATATTTGAAACTTACAATACATAAAAGCGATACAAGATGCCGAAACTTGGCCAACAAAGCTATGAAAATTAAGTTACGCTAAAATTAAACTTCAAGCTGGCACTGGTTTTATACTGTTACGAAATGTCCAGGCGCGGTAAGATGGCTTTCCCGCAAAGCAGTTTTAGGGTTGCCATAAAATGGCAAGCGAAGGCGGGGTTGCCATAATGATGATTAAATCGCCCATTTGGTGACATTTGGCGACAAAATTGGCGATATACTATGGACGGATGGAGAACCTTCTGGAACGAATTCCTACCGGTTTAGCTCAGAATGTTCTCGAACACAAGCCGAAACATACATAAACCCTGCTGGTCCGTAGTCAGTTAGTGTGTGTGCCTCGCCTAGAGTGTGTAAGTGCTTCGGCTAGCGAGCTGATAGGTAGTATCGAATCGCTGTCTCGTCTAGCGAGTCAATCCCTGCGGAGTCGATTGAGTTGACAGCTGGTCAGCGAGTGTCGAGTGGGTCGTCGAGTTCACCGAAGGAGTCTCTTGGTGTATCGCGGTTAGTGCATCGTCGAGAGAGCGTGTTGAGCTCCGGGAAAGACTGAACCGAAGAGTCGGGAGCCGTGCTCTGTGTGTCGTCGAGTGCATAGGGAGTTGTAGCGTGGAGAGTCTCGAGAGTACGTGGAATTCCAAAAACGACCGAGCAGAGTCGGGAGCTGTACTCTGGTGCTTTGCAGTGAAGCTCTCTTCCCCGTGATAGTCTGATAATCTGAAGGCTGTGTAACTGATTATGTCAGCGTGTTTATAGTAGATCTTCGACGACTGTAAAAGCTGACTTTGGAGCTGTCCTGATTAATAGTGGCCAAATAAAGTGTGTTTCGATACTTCATCAAGTGTCGTCGTTGTTCACTCCAAATCCACGCGAACCCCGTACGAACGTAAAGGAAGAAAATAACGTAACAATACGATAATCTATCGATTTTCAGAGAATCAGGCAATGGAAATTTCTATTCTTCGAGCAGTATTCTTTTATATATCTCAATGAACTGAATTTTCATAGTTCTAACATCCGAACGATATAGAAGCAACCATCAAAGGCGTTGCCAGAAGCCAAACAAATTGTCTGCATGAACCCAACAAATTCAAATTCGGTTCTTCCATTGAAGATAAGCTTTCTAGACTCAAGAAATGAATTCACGAGTTCTAGGTCAACTTTCCACATCTGTTTTCCAGATTTGCTGCAGGATATTTTGGTCACCTAGTAGTAGAAAGAAATTTCTGAATTCCCTTGATCTTTTGGTTGCCTTCGGATTGCCATAATGCTAGGTTCAGAGTAAAAAAAAATAAAATCTGAAAGCTTTCAGATTTTGTATTACGCCCAAAGGGACATCCTTTCATTTACACACACAAACACTTTTCGAGAGCATTTGGGCAAATGTTCCTTTGGGATAAAAATATTTAAAAAGAGCATATGTTTAGAGTTTCCGATAGATAGACTCACGCGCTGGAGATAAAAGTGTTTCATTCCATAAAGTGTTGCCACTGATCGCTTTGAAATCGTTGAGTTTGTTTATCATAAATTAGCTAAAGTTTTGCAAAATGGGAAATAGAAGATAAAACAAATTCCGTATACCAAATTCGGGCTTCCAGATGCCCATATTCGGGTGGAGGACTAAGTTACTCAGAATTGGATTTTTCTAGGTACCGTTATTTTTTCACAATGGGAGAAACATGCACATATTCATGCAGATTCTTTATTATTTAATTTATTTAAATATAACACAGGGAGATAATATTTGGTGACATCAATCTGAAAAGTGATACAGCCATTTATAGTGAATCGAAGCAAAATGCCGTTTCGAAAAGTGTAACCCTTCTGGGCTAACGCCCGTTTAGGCGAAAAATAACGTAACCTTGTAGATTTTGCTAACAAAATATTTAGAAATACGCATTGCTATTATTTCAATCTGGATTATCAGATTATTTATTTGTTTATTGAGGCCCAGGAACTTGTCATCAAGTGGGCTTTTAGAACAGTGTAGCCAGTACTTGTGCCTGTGTCGGCATTCTAACTGTCAGTCTCTCTCTATACATGCTGATGGAATTTATCTAGTCTTGATGACTACAGAGGCTGTTCGCACATTTTATAGACGATTTTGGTAAGCGGTAATAAAAATTAGTACTATGTTAGTACTAAAAAAATAAAATTAGTACTAAAAATTGTACTATGTTTTTAAAAGTCAAAATTGTCGTCTGTGGCTTGAAAGTTTTGTTTTTATTCAAAATGGCGAATTTAACAAAGCAGTGGTTCGAAGGCTACATTGACGCTCTTTCAGAAGAGAAATATGCATACTCCGTTATCCAAAAACGATGTGAGAGTCATGGTTTTGTGATATCTAAAGCGTCGATAGGTAATATCATCAACAAGAAAGGAAAAAAAAAAAGTCAAATTGGAGCCTCAAGTGGGACAAAAATTCCAAACAAGTATCCAAGGAAAAAACGGACATCTTCGACTATTGCAAAGGTACGTTGTTTAATGTTGAACGAAAATCCCCAAAGGACAGTTGCAAAATCATTCAAATGCTCGGTGTCCCCTGTAAACAAAATGATAAACGTTGATTTAAATCTTAAGAAAGCGAAAAAACGCAATGTGCATCGTCTTCTTCCAAAGCATATCGCTCGACGCTGGACACGCTGCAGAATTCTACATGAGAAACACTTATCCAAAGAAAAACAATTGTCACAATAGATGAAGCATGGGTGTATTTAAATGATTGTAACAAAAAAGAGCCATTTATTATCATAAAAGAGGAGAAAAAAAATTAAAGTACATGGTTCAAAGAATCGAAAGAATGTTTTTCTAAGCGATTCATGATTGTTGCTGGTTTTTCTTATAATGGCAAGTTAAAAATAAAGAGAGTGCAAAAGAATGTCAAGATTAACTCCAAATACTATCAGGAACATATTTTATCGCCAATTTTTCTGAATGAAATACCATCGCTTTACCCACAGTGCCATCCATCTGTGAGACTCCATCAGGACAAAGCTAGCAGTCACACATCAAAATCCACTGTAAATTTCCTAAAAGAAATGGAACAAAATCTGGTTACAAGGCTATATATACCCTTCACCGATATCCCTACTTAATCTCCCGATGTACCTATGAAATTTTGTGCTTTCGGATTTTTGAAAACTGCATTATCCAAACGTTGTCCCAAACCCTAACAGGACTCTGGAAAGCTGTTCGGGAGGAATGGGATGCAATACCTCTTCTACCACTTCAAAAGGCATTATTATCCTGGAAAATGCGGTGTCGAAAGATAGTTCAGAATAAGGGATGTCAAATAGAACATTTAAAACACAAGAACTGTATGTAATTTAGTTTTGTGAATACAATATACATCGTCTAAGAAATGTGTGAACAGCCTCTGTAAAATGAATTATGAAGGATAACAGTGAAGTTGCATATCCTCAAATTCATAGCTCCTATCTATCAACTTTGGGCTCCAAATGGCAGTTGTATACTTTATCCGAAAATTCACATGAATGAAGATTTTGTAAAAATAAGTAAAATGGTAGAAATCCTGAAAAAAAAAAAAAATAAGGTTTACAGTCATTTTACGGGAATGTCTGATGTCTTGGAGAGAAGCTTAGAAGGAAACGACGTTGCCCCTCCTGAGAGCCAATCTACGTATGTGTAGTGACTTTAATGCCTCAGAGATAGATTCCATGAATACACATTTTATGCTACTATTTGGTATCATATCCTGAGGGTATGCAATAATTTAATATTGCGTTAGAGTTTTAAAACTGAATAATAAATACCTTCACAGCCCCCGATCCAAGGTTAAGAAGCAGGAATACGTGGCCATCCAGTAATTCGAAAGCGAAGAAATCTCCTTGAGCTGTGGCTCCCGTGTTGTACATGAGAACACCATTGGCCTCATTTGTGCGGATTTTGAAAGCAACACTCCCTGTGCGGGCTGCATCCCAGCTTGGTAGAGCCTGATCGGAGAAAGTCAAATGATAATTTAAACAGTTTGAAAGGTGAAGAAAAATTCAGTTAACTTAAATAAGCGACGTAACTGCTTAAAAAAAACTATAGCAATTACAGCAACTTTAGGCATTTGGCATGCAAACATAAAAAAAAAAAAGTGTGATGTGTACACCACATGATTTCCTTGTACGGAATATTAAATTATACGCATTTTTTCTTGCATTTCATTTAAACGTATTGGATTGAATTAAATCTACTTCGCCGACAGCGCATAAAACACAATAGAATAAATGCACTGTTTAAAATTCACTCTATTTGTTTAGCATAGCGACACTCTGGCGCTAGGTTCACTTAATATTTCGTTCATATTATAACTCAGAATGCACAAAATTTAATATCATTTGAAGAATTATCTAATTGTTGCCACATGTTCTGTTCAAACACTATAATAAAGCTAGAACGATGTATAAAATAAATTAAGCAAAGAAAACAAAAATGAAACAGTTTTTCACAGACGATTTAGTATTTCTGATTCAATTAATTCAGTTCTCACTTCGCGACAAGGCAAAAATACATAAAAACTCAAAATATCTGTATTAAAAATTACGAAGTAAATCTTAAACGCTTATTTCCTCGAAAAAATTCCAGGGAGGATTAAGCATGATTTAATTCGCAATAATAAATGGAGGCGTTATTTTTGTTGTTGCGAAGCTTAGTCTTTCTAGATTGGCAACAAATCTACAATTCTGCTGTTTCAAATATGTCCGCCATGTTATTTAAAACTTAACCGCACTTAAACAGCTTTTAAATTGCTGATAATTGCACAAATATTGCTTCCAGATTTATGAAAGGCATAAAACCTCGGAAGATAAGAACAACATAATTCAATCATTTTTAAAGCAAAAAATGTACAATTTACAAACATATAAGAGTAAAGAAACAGATCACTGAGCCGGCTAACAGAGTGGATATATATAGAAATTTATTTAGACACGTTTGGTGCGGCCGATTGCAACCAAAATACGAGGTGCACATCTACATGTTATAGCAGTCCTTTCAAAGTTCTGAGGCTACTCGTTTTTGAGTTATGCGAGATACGTACATACGTACGTACAGACGGAACGAAAAATTCTCTTCAGAATTCATTTTAAAGCAGTTTTATAATTTTTTCGAAGGAAAAGAGTATTTTATTCTGTCCTTACGTACAGATGACACGCAAAAACATCGTTAGATTGCATTCGATAGCGGTCAAAATGGATATTTTCGTTGAAATATGTTGCCTGAAACTTTTCGCGATTATAATACTTCCTTTTTACTTCGTACAAGGAAGTAAAAAAGACATATCACGTAACGCTTCATAAAATATGTTGCTCAAAGTTTTTAAAAAGTTTTGATAATTTATAAACATTCTTGTAGCAGTAACAGAGGAAATGCCTGTTTAGCTGAACATTATTAAATTTGAAACACTCAAAAATCTTCCGTCAGTTGTATCATTTTGGATGTGCTAGTCTTGAACAGTATTTTTAAACTTAACTTTTTCTATTTCCATCGGCGCAATTTCTCAGCTTATGGATGATTAGGTCCGAAATTTCTTTTATTCACTCCAAAAGAAATCCGACTTATGAAATGCGCATCTTACATGAAGAGTAAAAAATTGCCAAGACACCAGAGAAAATTTTTTACTAGACATTTTATCATAAGTCAAATAGAAAGAGGAATTTGTTAAATTTAAGCCTTTCCTCACCAGAAATATAAAATAACCTTGTTTGATAAGCATTTCTAGCTGTCTCCATAGAACTCAAGACAAACTTTACTTACTTGTACGAAGGAAAGGAAGTATTGTAATCACAAAAAATTCAGGGCATCATGTTTCAAAGAAAATATCCACTTTGACGCCTATCGAATGAATTTAACGATGCTTTTGTACGTAAGGATAGAATAAAGGACTCACGTTTCCCAAATGGAATATAAAACTGATTTAAAATGCATTCAGAAGAGATTTTTTCGTGACGTGTGTACGTACGTATGTATGTATGTATGTATATTGCATAACTCAAAAACGAGCAGCTTCAGTATATATGACTAGTATAACATGTAGTTGTGCACCTCCCGTTTTGGTTGCAATCGGCCGCACAAAAGTGTATATTTATGTGTGTGTGTATAGCCATTCTGTTACAACTCCGTGAACTCAGTTTTTGTTATTCATATATGTTGGTAAATTATGCATTTTTTGCTTTAAAAATAATTGAATTATATTGTTTTAAAGTTTTTCTCGCTTTAGTTAATCTGCATGCAATAATTGTAAACTTATCAACAGTTTAAAAGTTTTTTAAGAGCGGCTAAGCCTAATTTTTTTTAACCATAGCAGCCATATTTGTTTACGTTTGAAGCTTTCAACAGAACAGTGAAGTCAGTTTCTGTACCTTCAGTGTCTTTTGACCATTGGGACTAAAAGTAAACTTTCAGTTTTGTGCACCTAAAAATCAGCCTTCATGGCAGCTGGCAGCATTGCTTATTTTTACGTAGAAACTCTAATTTTAATTTCAAAAATTGTTTGTTTTAACTGTATTTTGGTATTTTATATTTTCTATATTTTTCAATTTTTAATAAAGATATTTTGAAAGTTTATGTATTTGTGCTTTGCCATGAAGTGAGAACTGAATTAATTGAATGAGAAATATATCCAATGAAATTCGAGGAGATATGTTTAAATGAAATACAGCAAAAATGCGTATAATTTACTATTCTATACAGGGAAGTCAAATGGTGTACACATTACATTTTTTTTTCATTGTGTGACGAACAATATGTAGTAGGAACTTGAAAAATCGTATTTGCAAATTAAATTAGCTTGGAAATTAAAAATGACTAAATTTCATTAAATTATTAATGAGATACTGCCAATAAATTTGAAAAGTTTCAAAATATTTTAATGGGATATTGTAGAAAATAAATAACGGATTGACCAATAAATTATTTAGCTATGTAGCTAACGTATTCTGTTTTCCATGTGCTATTACATCTTGAATTCGTTTCACTGCTGAATGTCAGGTTTTATGAGGTTTTTATAGTCTGCATAGAACTGTTTTAGATTTCGTTGAAGTCGCGTTTACGTTACGATACTGAAACCCTCCTTTACCAAATTTGTATTAAAGCTAAAGTCATTAATAATAGGTATAGTAAAAAACTTCAAGATGCTCTTCCTTTATATTGTTTTGAAATTTCGATGGTATGTTAACTATTGCATACGCTCTCATTTTAGGAAAGTCTTACCAGATTAACCAAACTGTATGAGTTGAAGAAAACGGAAATGTCTGTTTTTCCTGTTGAGTTATCATAAAAGAAAATTATTTATAAACCTGGCACAATTTTATCTTTACATTTTTACTTCCTTGTACGAAGTAAAAAGGAAGTTTTGTAATCGCGAAAAGTTTCAGGCAGCATATGCAGTTTAATGATGTATTTCCGTGATATCTGTACGTAAGGACAGAATAAAAGACACTTTTCCTCCAAAAAAATTATAAAACTGCTTTAAAATGAATTCTGAAGAGAATTTTTCGTGGCGTCTGTACGTGCGTACGTACGTACGTATCTCGCATAACTCAAAAACGAGTAGCCTCAGAACGTTGAAATTTTGTATATAGGACTGCTATAGCATGTAGATGTGCACCTCGTATTTTGGTTGCAATCGGCCGCACCAAACCTATATAAATATATTTATATATATATCCACTCTGTTACCCGGCTCCGTGATCTCAGTTTCTTTACTCTTGTATGTTTGTAAATTGTACATTTTTTCCTTTAAAAATGATTGTATTATGTTGTTCTTATCTTATGGTTAAGGTTTTTATGCCTTTAGTAAATATGCATGCAATATTTTTAGAATTATCTACAATTTTAAAATTGTTTAAGTGTCGCTAAGCCTAATTTGATGGCGGCCATTGCTCTTGCTTACATTTGAAACATCTGAGTAGCGGATTTGTTGCCAATCTAGAGAAAGTTAGCTTCGAAACAACAAAGATAACGCCTTCATTTATTATTTAAATCATGCTTAATCCTTTCTGGAATTTTTTCGAGGAAATAAACGTTTGAATTTACTTCGTAATTTTTAATACAGATATTTTGAGTTTTTATGTATTTTTGCCTTGTCGAGAAGTGAAAACTGAATTAATTGAATGAGAAATACTCAATCGTCTGTGAAAAACTGTTTCATTTTTGCTTTGTTTGCTTAATTTCTTTTATACATCGTTCTAGCTTTGTTATAGTATTTGAATAGAACATGTGGCAACGATTAGATAATTCCTTAAATGATATAAATTTTGTGCATTCTAAGTTATAATATAAACGAAATATTAAGTGAGCCTAGCGCCAGAGTGTCGCTATAGTAAACAGAATGAATTTTAAAGAATGCATTTTTTCTATTGTGGTTTATGCGCTGTCGGCGAAGTAGGTTTAATTCAATCCAATAAGTTTAAATGAAATGCAAGAAAAAATGCGTATAATTTAATATTCTGTACAAGGAAGTCATGTGGTGTACACATCAGATTTTTTTAATCTATTAAAAGTTTAATGTAAATGACGACATTACAAAAAGAAAAATTTAACTAAAATATCGACTACTGACTTCCAGTAAGAAAGTAATTTTTGGTAGTACGTTTTTCCAACAAGAAAGTAATTTTTGGAACGTAATTTGAAAGAATATGATATGGACACCATATGACTTCCTCGTATGGCCTATTAAATTATACAAAAATTTTTTTTTTTTTTTTTTTTTTTTTAGATTTTTTATTCTGTTGATTCAGTTTTATTTCGCGGCAAAGCAAAAATACACAAAAACTCGAAACATTTTCATTAAAAAAAATTTAAATTTAAAAAAAAATCATAAAGCACAAAATACAGCTAGAAAAACAGATTTTTCAGAGCACAAAACTGAAAATTTGCTTTTGATCCCAATGGGAAAAAAAAAAAAAAAAAAAAAAAAAAAAAAAAAAACCATTGAACGTGCAAA